TCCCTAACGAACTTTCAAGTGGTATCAGAGCACTTTCAGACTCTTTTTAGGATCATTGGAGTAGTAGATTTATTACTTCCAATGTTTGTGGACATCAGAGCTGTTACCTTCTTAAAGATAAGACCAAGAATAAATTTTGGAACACCATAAAGTTTAGTTCTAATTTGTTCAAGCACCTCTTCCCTTCTACATATCAAGTTGTCCTTATAACCAACGTATTTGTTGATCTTAGTCACAATTGTCGTAGGTGACATCTGTACTTATGTCCACAAGGGTTCATTGTACTAATGATACACCCATTGTTGTTATCCACAGGTAGCTTGTATTTGTTTGTAGGGACCCGTTATATCTACTACGACCTCCTAGAAGTGTTCGTAGAAGAGCTATTGTCACCTTCATCATATCCACCTTTCACCAATCTCAGGTAATTTTGATTATTGCAAGTATTTGTAGGGAGGGGTCCTCCTCTATTGATCTATAGTGTCACCTTCTTCAATCAACAAGAAACATTGACTGTGTTGGTGATATCAATAGCGCATATAGGACACACGTATGCTTTCTACAATCATTTATTGTTTTTGTAAGCACGTTGCACCTGATCTCGTGGAGACGGTTGTAAGGGTTCACTATGCTCTTTGTTCATACGCATTGAGGTCTTGTAGTGTGCTTTCTCGTATCTTGATTTGTCGTATGTCTTGTAGGAGAGTGGGGCACTCACTTACAATAAAATGATATTGATTGTGAAAAGACTGCATTTGCTTTGGATTCTTCGAATACACCTTTATTGGGGAAGGGGGAAAACACCGCTAGAGAGAGAAACACTCCTAGAGAGAGAAACACCCATTTTTTGAAATTATTCAAATTCATGGTTTTTTCCGAGACCTTCATCGCCGGTGATTGGCGATGATGGTGGATGGCCGCCTACTTCCACTCGGTGCGCTAAACTATTCTAGAAGCTCAGACGGTCAAATCGGAAATGAAGAAGTCCAGCAAAAGATGTTTTCGCATTCTGAAATAGATCATGGACAACACAGTTTGACATCAAAATCTCTGGTTATCAAAGACGTTATTGATGCCCCTGCGAAGAAGGTTGTGGATTGTGTGGAAGGTAAAGGTATAAAAGTATCTTGGTTAATTTCGATTGCATTACACCTAGGATTGAGAAGTCTCGTTCAAGTTTGAAACTGAATGATGTAGAAGCTTCTTCATCAGAATTGCATTACACCAAGGTTAATTTATCGATGATCTGTGTCTAGCGATAAATGCAAATATCTCAAATGAAATTAATAAAAAAACTCATTTTGTGGATAAGCTATCTTCGGTTCGTTGTTTAGACTTACCAATTAAACCTATTTTGCAATATGGAATTGAAGGGACTTCTTCAATTGTTAATACAGCTAAGAATGCTGAGATTGGTTCTAAAGTAACTACTGGTAATGCTTGGATGAGGACCCAGCACATCAAGCTTAATTATGATATGGATTCTACCCCCGTTACTGATGACGGGATTGCTGTTATTATGAAATCTGATCAGAAATGGCTAATTCTCATATCCTGAGGAACTCTCTGGTTATCAAAGTTTTGGGTAATAATATCCCTTTCCCAGTTTGCAGTAGAGAACTTCGGAAGCAATGGTCTAGATTTGGAAATTTTCACTTTACAACCTTGGGTCTTGACTAGATTCTCTGTTCCTTTACAAAGCCGGAAGCAGTAGAAGAAATCCTAGAAGGAGGACCTTGGTTTATAGGAGGCAATATCATTGGGTTGGATAGATGGTCCCCCAATTTTTCACCTGAATCCCTCAAAGGACTTACAGCTCCTATTTGGATTCGTTTTCCGTGCCTTCCATTGCGCTACTGGGATGAGCAAAACATTTGTAGAATTTCTTCCAAGATTGGAATTCCAATTTACCTTGATGGAAATTCTTTTAAAAGGTGGAAAAGGGAATATGCCCGGGTTTGTGTTCATTTAAATCTGGACAAGAAAGTTTCTAAAGGAGTTTGGATAGAAGGAATGCATGGTAGATCCTTCCAAAAAGTTGTATATTAGAATATTTCTTCTCTATGCTATCATTGTGGTAAATTGGGTCATTTAAAGAACCAATGTTCTTTAATCAATAATTCTTCTTCAAAAATTGCTGATCCAAATTCTAATGTTATTGAGAACAATATGAATCAAGGAGAAGATAAAGCCAATGACCAAGATGAACTAGGACCTTGGATACAGGTCAAGTTCAGAAAAAATAGGGCTGTGGGAAAAATAGCTCTTAAGCAGAAAACTGTTTCTCAAATCTACCTTCCAGTTCAAGCAAATCCGATCATAGAAGAAGGAGAGATTATTGAACCAACTGCTTTTCAAATATCAGAATCTAAAGCCATCTATTCCATGGGGGAGAACAAAAATAATGAAGTAAGGCTGAAAAACAATTTCAGCATTTTGGAAGAGGAAGTGCAGAATTCTTGTTTTGAAGAATCAAAGGGAAATAAATGTTCTTCAGAGTTGATTAAAACAAATTCTGATAAAGAAGTTTTGAAGGATCCGGCTGATTCCATTTCTGTTATGAAAACAGAAGAGATTGAAATAGATAAAGATTGCAATGGGAAAGAATATTATGGCAAAAACAACCTTGAGGTTGAACTCTTGGAAAAGGCGGTTTCTCCTACAAAAAACATCAATGGGAAGGGTTGCTTGCAAGCTCTTGAAAATCCTGAGGGATTACTTGCGAACTCAAGTATACCCTATCATAAATCTGACTTCAAACTTTAGAAGGAGCTGAAATCCATTGGAGTTAGAATCATGTGATCTTCATGTAATGAAATTCATTGGACCAAGGTACACTTGGTGTAACAACAAGACAGGGGGAGCTAGAATCATGGAAAGATTGGATAAATGTTTGTTGAATTCGGTTGCTTTGCAAACAATTCAAAATCCTATTATTAAGCATCTTCCAAGGGTAGCTTCTGATCACTGCCCCATTTTAGTCAATCTGCTTACTCCAGCTGCTCGAAAAAATAGACTTATTAGATATGAAGAAGTGTGGTCTTCTTATGCGGCTTCTACCGGTATTGTTAACAGCTCATGGAGAAAAAATATGATAAATAAGAAATTTAAAAGAGTTTTAAAAGCACTTTATTACTGGAGTAAAAACAAACATCAGGATTTGATGATGTTGAAAGAAAAACTGAAGAAGGAAATTTTTGAAATGCAGTTTAAAGAAGCAGAATCAAGTGGCTTGTCCGAAGATATGTTACAGTTGCTAAAATCTAAAGTTCATGATTTAAACATTACCCTATCACAGCTGAACAAGTGGTGGAGGCAAAGAGCAAAAATGAAATGGTTGGTGGATGGTGATTTAAACACCAAGTTTTTCCACACTTATGCGTCTGTTAGATGGAATTCTAACTAGATACATCAGATTAAACGCGTAGATGGGGGAATAACTGTTGATCAAAATGAAATTGAAAACATCTTTTTTGATTTTCTTAAAAATAAATGGGATGAGAAGGTTTGCTATCTATCCGGTTGGCCAAAGCCTTTTAATGTGCTTAATGATTTGGACATACAATTTCTTTTAAATGACTTAAGGTATTGATGGGATCTCTTATTCCTTCATCAAAACTTTTTGGTTTATCATTAAAAATGATGTTTGTAAGGCTATTCGCTCATTTTTTGATCTAGGAATTATGAGTCCTAGTTGGAAGGAGAACTTGGTAGTTCTAATTCCAAAAATAGAGAACCTGATTTTACCTACTAATTTTAGACCTATAAGTCTTTGTTTATCTATCTATAATTTGGTAGCCAAGATGTTATTAAACATAATGTTAGTTCTTATTCCAAAACTGATTTCTAAAGATCAAGCTGCTTTTATTAAAGGCCGATCTAGTTCTGAACATATTCTGTTAGCCCAAAAAGTTTGTAACAAATTTAGATTCTCAAAATCTAAAAAAGGACTTATGGCTATTAAAATCGACATGGAACAAGCTTATGACAGTATAGGTTGGCCAACTCTTACTCAGGTCTTGAAGAATTTGGGTTTTCTAGATAAGTTTGCTAACTTACTTATTCAGAGTGTTTCTGACACAAAAATTTTCTATTATCATTAATGGTAATTATTCGGGTTGGATCAAGGCTAAAAGGGGGTTTAGGCAGGGCTTCCCACTCTCTCCCTTTCTTTTCATACTATGCTACCAACTTGTTTCTGATATGGTTATGCAAAATGGAAAGGAATTGGGTATTAAAATAGCTCCTAATGTTGAGAAAATTTCACTTCTATTATATGTTGATGACATTGTTTTGTTCTTGGAAGCTAATGGGAGTAGTGTTAAGAAAGCTAAAGAAACTTTGGAAGATTACTGTAATTTGATCGGGCAAAGAATCAATATCCATAAATCTTTCATTATATTTAGAAACTCGGTTAATAGAAGGAGAAGGAGGAGATTGGCTAAAATCCTAAAATTCAAAGTGGTTAAAGAACTTAAATATCTTGGGATCAATATTGTGTTGAGAAGGACTTCTAGAATGGATTTATATCATCTACTGGACAAAGATAATAACTATATGAATGTTTGGGGTAACAAATACATTTCATTAGCTGGGAAGATTCTTCTTGTCAAATCTATATTTTCTTCCTTCCCTATCTATCACATTACTCACTCTTTAGTTCCTTTGGGTATACTCAGGGAATTAGATAGAATGTGTAGGGATTTTTTGTGGAACAAACATGATGGTAATAAAGGTTTATATTATGTTTCATGGGATGTACTATGCAGGACGCTTAGTCTGGGAGGGCAAGGTATCCAATCTATGGTTTATAAGGTTGGTCCACTTCGAGCAAAGTTTGCATGGAACCTCATCTCTGGCACATCTTCTACTCTCAACAGAGTTTTGGTTGCTAAGTATGGTAATCAACCTTGGAACATTCAGCTTAAATATCAAAGTTCTCCTACGATCAAAATTATTGTTAATGGATTTCAAGCTCTTAAAGATATCTTAAGGTGGAAGGTGTCTAAGGGCAACAATATCAATATCTTGCAAGATGTTTGGATTTTTGATAAATCCATTTCAAGATGGCCTACCTTTGTAGCATACATGGGACAAGATATCCAAAATCTGGATTTCTTTGTCAACAAAGGTGAATGGGATGCTGATAAATTGAAGCTCTTCTTTGGACCAGATTTGATTGAAATTATTAACAAGGTCCATACACTTCCTAATTTAAATGAGGATCAATTGGAACTAAAATTTAAGTTCTCAGGAAAATCAATCTCAGCTTTAATTTATATAAATTCTGGAACTGATGGAAGTGAAGATCCAACCTGGAAATGGAGAAAAAATCTGAAGCTTAGACCACGAATAAGTCTTTTTTGGTGGAGACTTGGTATCAATGCATTACCATCAAATGTTTTTTTGAAACACAGAAATCTGTCAAGGATTGAAGACTTCCCGAGAGGTTGCAAATATGTGGAAAATGACTTCCATATTTCGGTTGTCAAAAGCTTATACAGATTTTCAATGTTATTAGAAGCTGGGGATTCTCTGTTCCTGTCTTTAAATCCATTGAAGATTGTTTTAGAGCATTAAATTTAATGGCTAATACTGGTCCTTTAATTGGTAACATTTACTGTTATGCGGTTATTTTTTTAAATTGGATCAACAAAATTGGATCAACAGGAACAATGTGACTCATGGGGGGGAAGGAAGATAGCACCTCTTTCATAGCAGCCAATGCTATCAGCATAGATGAAGCATCTTTCAAGAAAAATTTGGAATACTAGGAAACTAACCAGCTCTCACAGCTGCCATTTCATTGGTTTCCTCCACCAACCGAATGGATTAAATTGAATATAGATGCCTCTGTTAAAAGCAATTACAATGCTGTATTGGTGGTGCCTTCCGTGATCATAGAGGGAGGCTATTATGTGCATTCGGTATTAAGTGTAAGCACTGGGATCCAGCTCAAATGGAGATGAATGCTATCTTATCTATAAAATCTTTTACTCTTCAAGGGAGATATGATTACAAAGGTATCATTATAGAAGGTGACAATAAAAATATTATAGATTTTATCAATAAAATCTTTAATATGCAACCAGGTTATGAGGAAGACTTATGCAATTTGGACTTCTCTTATCTATCTGAGTTCAATCAGGTTCTTTTCCACTTTGTTCATAGAAATAGCAATAAATTAGCGGATTTTTGTACTAATTATGCTTGTTCCTTTGATTTCTTTTGGGATGATCTCAGTAGTAATAAGGTTCCTCCTAGTTTTATTTCGTTACTCAAGGAGGACTGTGATTGTGAAGCAATCACTTAGTTTATTGTACTTACTTTTTTTTAATAATATTTTTCTCTATGCATTCCATCAAAAAGAGAATACACCTTTATTGCTAGCCCGTTACTTGTTGGATTCTTTTGTCGCTCGTATATGAGCCACGTTGAAGGCGACAAGTTATTTGTTGTTTGAGTTTGATTCAAGTCCATATGTTCAAGTAAAGTTTGGATTTACAAGTCTTGGCACAAATCCTTGCATATTTATTTTATCTTGAGTTTAAATCTGAGTTCAAATTTACAAGTTCAAATATTTTTTCAAAGTTTTGTTCATCTTATTTGATATCAAATCAAATGCAAGACCGAGTTTCTTGAAAGTTCAATCTCTTATTTAAGTCTTCTTATGGTCCAAAATTTTGTTCAAGTTTTCTACTGTCATATTGAGTTCATCTGGATTTGAGTCTAATGCTTGCAAATCCAAGTTTCACTTGGTGTTGCACAGTTAAGGTTCAAGTGCACAAGTTGTTGTTGTCCATATCTTATCCCAGTTTTAGTTCAAAGTACAAGTTCAAATCTTTGTTCAAAGTCTTCAGAAGTCCTTGCAAGTTTAATTTCATGTTCACTTGATATGAATTTGATTACAGTTTGATTTTATTTTGTTTGGTTTTGATATTTAGAAATCATTTAGATTTTATTCAGGTTTAGGTCCACAAGTCTAAGTCCACTCTTATTCTTTTGAGTCCAAATCCTTATCCTCTGAGTTCAAATCAGGCCCAAGTGTAGTCATATTTTCACCTGAAATTTTAGCAGTCTTCCGGCGTCTCCCTCATTTAGGGAAAAACTATGAAAAAATTGGGCCTCACGCCACACTAAAGAAAAGCATGTACGCTAGGTGCCCTCTTACGAGGACATCGCGGCCGTGAAATCTTTATCCCCACCACGCTAGAGAAAGGTGTGTATGGGTCTTCGGTACCTGTTATAAGAAAAGAGTAGTTGTTCCCCCGCGAGCGAGTACTTATGAATATCCCAGTCTCATCGAATACATTTTAATTAAAACTAATTATGATTAATTAATAATTAACATTAATTTTAATTAAAATTAAACAACATTAATTTTAATTAAAACTATGTAAACTCTCTCCCTCTCCTCTCTCTGTAGTTTGGTGAGCTCACTGGATTTGGCCGAAGGAGAGCAAGTGAAAGGGATAAATTACCTTCATAGAGAGCGAGCTCTGTTCTGCTTTTGATCGGGTAAAAGGGGAAAGTCATCGGGGAAGCAAAGTCGAAAAGTAATGACGGGACGGAAGAAGCTCACGATTGGGAGGAAGTTTCTTTCACAATGAGCAGAGCTCCCGTTGTTGCTTATGATCAAAATGTCGTAACTTTCGGCTGACAAAAAGGAACGGTGTCGGGGGAGCGAGGTCATCCGGCCACGAGGGGAGGCAGAGAAGCGAGCTCCCGTCATTCTGTTGATCAAAATGTTGCAACTTCCGATCTGCCCGAAAGGGAAGTCGTCGAGGGAGCCGAATTTGAATGCCAACAAAGGAGCCAAAGTAGAGACACTTGCAGTCTCTACACCTTCGCAGCGAGCGGAGCTCCGATCAGGATATCGTAGCTTCTAATCCGACTTGAGGGAACGTTGTTGTCGGAGGCAAGTCAAACATCAACGAAGGATTCAGAGAAGCAACAAGAGAGAGCGAGAGAGTGGGCACAGGAAGATGCCGAAGTCCTCGTCTCTTCCCCCTTTTAACGATGTGAGCGAGTCGTGGGGAGAAGCAGCGTCAACGTGCGAGCGATGTGCGAGGGGTGTGGACGACGTGTGATGTGGGATGCCAGAGCAGCTACGCGACATTTTTTTTCGGGACAACGATCAACAATATAATCTTCATAATCTTCATATTTTAATACACAAAGTAACACTATAATTGGTATTAACTTCTTTAATACCAATTTTAGTGTGTGAGTACACACCCAAGATGAGGAGGGGGTAAATTGATGTATCTTTTAAAAAATTAAGTAAAAGATTAGTAAAAGATAATTAAGCGATGTTATGTAAAATAGGCTAATAAGTAATTTTAAATTTATTATATCCTAAAAAATATTTAGCAATAATTTAAAATAAGCTATGAGCAAGTTATA